ATCAATGTTCTTCAACTTTGGTATCTATTAATTTATGTGGATGTCGTAAGATTACAGATAAAGGAATCAAAATGTTATCAAAATCATGTCAAGGATTAACATCATTAAATGTAGCAGATTGTGGAAAAATTACAGATCAAAGTATTATAATGATTTCAAAAGGTTGTCTAAGATTACGACAAATTCGATTATCGGATTGTCCAAGAATTACAGATCAATCTATTGAAGCTTTAATATTAAATTGTTCAAGACTTTGTTGGTTAGATATTGCACGTATTGGAAGAATTACAGATTCTACAGTTCGTCTTATTGCTAATACATGTAAAGAAAATATGGAATGGTTAAATTTGGCACGTCCTTCACCTATAGAAGCAGTTTATTCATCAGCTCTTGCAAGTCCTACACTTCTTCCAGTATCATCAGTTGGAGGGAATTTTCATAGTAATGAAGAAGATGAAATTACAGATCAATCAATTATAATGTTGGCAAAACAATGTCCAAATCTTCAATTACTTGATTTATCATATATGAACTCTATAACAAATCGAGCTATTGAAGCAATTGCAAATAATAGTTTTTCACTTATATGTCTTACTATTATTGGATGTAGATTAGTAACTTGTGACTCACTTAGATATTTAGCACAATTAAGACGAAAATCAGGACATTTAGGATGTATAACAATGGGAGATGCGGTTGGAATTACAGAAGAAGATATAGAAAGTATTACAAATGAACCTGAAGGATTGTTGAGTGGATGGCAAAAGAGTTCAGTAGATGAAAATAGTTTGAAAGAAATCTTGGAAGGTGTAAGTTGGGAAGCAGTTGGAACGTGGTAATTCGGCGTTATTCGGCGTTATTTTCTGAGTTATTCTGAGTTATTCTGAGTTATTCGGCGTTATTTTCTGCGTTATTTTTGTTATTTGTTATTACTGGTTATCTATTATAGTATTATAGTATTAGAAGAGAGTCATGATCCGTATAGGCTTTTCTTAGTCTTTCTTAACATAACCTATTTTAGATATTCTAGAAATTATTTTTTTTATAACACATACAAATGACAAAATGTAGATAATTTTTTTATTTTATTTCTGAGATAGTTGGTTTATTGAATTGTTTCGGGCATTTTTGTACATAATTTTTTTTTTTTTTTTGTTATGAATGTTATAGTATTTTATTGTAGTATTTTTTTTTTTTTTTAAGAGTATTTTTAGTTAACGCATTTTACCATTTATATATATATATATATATATATATATTTTTAAAAAAAAAAAAAAAAAAAAAGTAATGATAATACATTGAGCATTGTCAAGCACTATCAAGTTCGTTTGAAACGAACAAAAAAAAATTTTTTTGTAATAAAAAATTTGTCATTATTTTGTTAATACCGATACGTACCGGTACTATGTATATTCTAAGTATCGCTATTGCTACATTATATTATATGAATAAGCGAGTCAATCAAATCTACATTATATGAATAAGCTGAGTCAATCAAATGGTGGCCGATTATCAAAACATAATACAGTATTTACGTACCCGATACGGTGGTTCAAATACGGTAACATGACCTTGGTCATATACTCACTCATATGACTCATATGACTTATATGACTTGTATGATTTGTATGACTTAGATAACTTTTTTTATTATCGTTTTTGATTCTTACTATGTTAAATTTCCGTTTATCGTAGGGTCATAAGGTCATCGACAGTCAAATCGGAAATGTTTATGAGTTACACTGGCTTGGTAATATTCAAAAAAAGCAATGACGTAATCAAATAAGCCTCAAAAGATAATGATAATGTAATCAGATGAGCCTCAAAGTTAAAATGATGTAATATAATAAATTAAAAGAAAAAAAATGTTAATGATGTAATCAATAGAATTTGCAGAGATAAATGAGGTAATCGTAATTTGTAATTTCAAAGTAAGCATTATATGGTCATTATATGGGGGGCGTTGTAAATCAAAAAAAAAAAAAAAACACGCGACTTTATTTGACTTTATTTTGACTTTATTTCGGTAATAATGCAAGTACGTACGATCAATGTTAGTACAAAATAGGAGACTGCAAACCTTTACTATAATGTTAATCAATACATGATTGGTTATATCATTTCCAACCAATATTTTCCCGGCATCTCTAGATCAGGTTAGCAAAAATGGATACGAAACGGGATCCGAAATGGATCCGAATTAGATCCGCAGGGATTATTTAAAATCCCGATATAAGATGATCAGGACCAATTCTGAACCATTAAAGCTAACCTTAACTGTAAAGAAAATGGGTGATGGACGGGGAAAACTCGCACTTTTTAAATAAATATTTTCCTAATTAATCACGCAAATAATCAAATCATCACACAAATAATCACTCAAAATGATTGTCAACTCCGGTAGTCTTGTTACTACGTACGTACAGTACAGTACGTACGTACAGTACGTATATCAATACGTATAATAAATTTTCACCAAAAATATTAATTTCTAAAAATTTAATTCCGTTCCCCGTAAATTTTTGCTAAAAATAACAAAAAAATTCTGTCATTACATAACTACGTAATTTAACAGAATTCCGAACCATACATTGAAATATAAGAGTAACACTAACGTTAAGGGAAAAAAACAGACGGGTTTCAAAGTTTATTATTTATCGAATTAATTCCTGATTGATAACATATACATAAGTGTGAATTTTAAATTTATTTTAAGAAAAATTTAATTTAATTACGCATTCTCAGATCAGGGCTGAGTTTGGTAAATAATAAATAAATAAAACTGTAATAAAACTTGAAAAACCCGAAGGCAGGTTTTTTTTTCATGGCGTAACTTTCTCACCAACCAACAGTTTAAATCATCAAATAATAAAAGGATTGACTGATATATCCAGAAATATAATTAATCCCTGAGTTTAGTGTAACAAAAAATTGGTTTTTGTATACAGTATCACTACCTTTTTGTGTTACGTATTCGTCTATTCACATCAAGTGTTATACGTAATGTATATATACATTAGAGGCTGAACTAGGCCTGGATTACGAAATAAAAGCAAGCTTTTAGCACACAAGTTAGCCTGAATTAAAAATTCCTACGCAAAATGCCGATTAATGAAATGTATATTTTCGGAATTAATAATAAATGCCAATAAATGCCAATAAATGACACAATTTACAATTTACATAAATTCGAGTGACCTATATTTAGCCACATCAGCCACATCAGCCACATTAGTAAGTTCTAGTAATTTCTGGGTACTATGTACGTCCAAACGTACGTACGTACGTACCGGTACATTATCTACATTAGCCACGTTGGTTACATTATTCACTAACCACACAACATTAATAGTAAGTTCCACACTGATTATATCAACATTAATAGTAAGTTCTATAGTATTCGATTCTAAAAGTAGGTTTCTTTTT